CTGCGGGATGTTGGGAGCGAAACAATGAAGGTTTGTGTTTTTCAAACTTTACTACATGAATCTGTTATTAAAATTAATCAATTATTTATCATTTCCATCCTCCTGAATCTTCTTGATGCTAAATAATTATGTAAATCTGAGTCTAAATAATTCATTTCTTGAATTCTGTCACCAAATTTTAAAGGTTCATTGATCAGATATTCTTAATCCCCGCAGCTGGCCCCATGATGCCTAATTAATCTGCTGATCACTGGATTAAAAAACAGCTTCAATGCGTAATGACCTGATTTAATTAATAAAAATGCCCCTGGTTTCCTCCATGCCCCGAGGCTGCAAAGGGTCCAACTGTTCAGTTTCCCATTATTGTCAGGAATGAAACTGTGGGTCAGCTGCGCCCCTAAGTTTTATTTTTCCTTTAAATTTGAAACTAACATCACTTTAAATAAGAAATGATTGCATTCTTAAAGGGGAAGTATTATATAAAAACGTATTTTTTAAAGCTTTACATCATCTTGATGAGGGAATAAATTTATTCCCTCATCAATAACTTACCTGAAGTGCTGCCTTGATTCTTTGTATGTATGAAAAAATTCTGATCAACTAATCGGAGCAAGGAGGCGGGTGTTAGTGCTGTCAATCACAATTTCTTATGGCACTGCTCATCCTTCTTCCTCCAGACCCCCACGCTCTCTGTTATGCTGCATGCTAGTTACCATAGCCTCTGATGACAGTGAATAAACAGTTTTCCTGCAAAGGTGAGTTGTTTCTCTGCCATTAGCACATTTAGCAGTGAGTACACAGGGGTGATTGACAGCGCTAAGACCCTCCTCCTGGATCTGATTGGCTGCTTTTGCATTTCTTCCAGCAGCTCAGGGAGGACATCAATATTTTCACAATTTATTTGTTTCAACTTATACTGTCACAACATGGTGACAGCTTGAACAAATATAGAAAAGTTACATCCTGCAGCTTTAAGTTATATTTAACGTATGTAATATTTTTACAACTGAAGTTATCGTAGTTACCTGACTGTGCTGTAAAATGGCACTATGTTACTGGAAAACACATCATAACATTCCTTTAAAGGAAACCACATATTCTTTTGTCGTTTAGATGTTCTTCACCTGATGCTGTTACTCAACTCGCCTCTGCACTGAGCATCTCTGCCGCCATGAAGCTGGCTGCGCACCAGATGGCTGGCACGGCAATGAGCGCTCTCACGACAGGTGTGCAGTACCTGGGCTCCAACGACGCCAGCTACGATGACCTCTCCGCCGACTCTGGCCTATCGAAGAACGGCTTCGTCCTTGGAACTAAGGAGGTGATTTTCACCGCCATTGCTCCGGTTTTTCCCACCAACATCTCGGGATTAGCGCTGGGTAACGCCACCGCTGTGGAGAGCGTCGATGCGCTGCAGTGCGCGGAGAACTTAGCGGACAACCTCGAGTGCTTCATGATCCTCACCCCTAGTCAGCAGCTTGCAATCGTCATCTTGGCGCTCACTTTGGGTACCTTCACCGTGTTGGAGAACTTCGTGGTTCTGTGTGTGATCCTCCACTCCCAAACGCTTCGATCTCGGCCGTCTTACCACTTCATCGGCAGCCTGGCTGTGGCCGATCTCATTGGAAGCATCATTTTCGTCTACAGCTTCTTGGACTTCCATGTTCTCCACAGGAAGGACAGTCCTAACGTTTTCCTCTTCAAGCTGGCCGGAGTCATCGCCTCCTTCACGGCCTCCGTCGGGAGTCTCTTCCTCACCGCCATTGACCGCTACATCTCCATCCACAGGCCAATGGCGTACAAGCGTATCGTTACCAAGACGAAGGCGGTGATCGCCTTCAGCATGATGTGGACCATCTCCATCGTCATCTCGTTGCTGCCGCTGCTCGGCTGGAACTGCAAGCGGCTCGGCTCCGTCTGCTCGGACATTTTCCCGCTGATTGACCGAAGGTACCTCATGTTCTGGATTGGGATAACGAGCGTCTTGGTGTTGTTCATCATCTACGCCTACATGTTCATCCTCTGGAAGTCGCACCACCACGCCGTCCGCATGCTGAGCCGGACCTCCCAGAGGAGCGTGATCATCTACACCGCAGAAGGCGCCAAAGTGCAAACGGTGAGGCCCGAGCAAGCCCGGATGGACCTCCGCCTGGCCAAAACCTTGGTCATGATCCTGGTGGCCCTCATCATCTGCTGGGGTCCGCTACTTGCCATCATGGTTTACGACCTCTTCGGGAAGGTGGACGACTTCATCAAGACCGTGTTCGCCTTCTGCAGCATGCTGTGTCTGCTCAACTCCACTGTGAACCCCGTCATCTACGCCATGAGGAGCAAAGACCTGCGCAGGGCCTTCCGCAACATCTGCCACGTGTGGCGCGGAGGCTCCCAGACCCTGGACAGCAGCGGCGAGAGCGTCTGGACCAGCAGGAGCATGAGAGCAGCCGCCGCCGCCGCGGCAGCAGCTGGCAGGGCGGAGAAAAAACGCGGCCGCCGTGAGAAAACTGAAGCGAAAGTAGCTCAGGTTAGAGTTTCAGGAGGGACGGAGTCTTCTACAGCAGAGCCTGTCTGAAACCAACGGCGCTTCTGCACAACTGTGACACTAACAGTGATCTTTAGTCTCTGCCCTGTTAGCTCTGTTACTACAAAATGTGCCAAAATGACAAGAAAATAAGAAATAGGATTTTATGGATAAAAAAAAGATGATGGTACTTTTAGACCTCGGTCATATGACTGAGAAAGAGACGATTTTCGATTTTAATCCATTTCTTTCTTTTCCAAAGATGGACAGACCACCAGGGCCATGATAAGGAAAAAAAAAATTAAATTAAAAAAATAACAAAATAAATTCATAATATTTAGAGATTCAGTTGGAATACTATTATTTTTCACATAGTACTATGGGTTTATTCTCATTATTTTGACTATTCTCGTAATTTTATATCTATTCTTGTAATTTTATTTATTTATTATTTTCTTAGTTTACTCTGTAAAAACTAATGAAAGAAAAGTGGATTTTATTTCAATCATGTCATGTTTTGTTTAATTACAACAACAATATAATCATAATATTAGCAGAATAAAGACAATTTTACCAGAAAAAAAATGTCTTAAATTGGCAAGAAAAAAGTTGTTTGCTCAGAGTAATCAGGATCTGAAGTGACTCAGGTGTTTGTGCATCGTTTCACTTCTGCTACTGATAATAATTTGATTTGATGCTGTGAAAAATATTAAGTATTATTTGTAAAATTTACACCAAAGTATAACTTCATAAGGTGCTCAGCATTGCTCATTTTATTATTTGATTATTAAAATTACTACTTTCTTCTTCTAGCATTATGATTGTATTCTTGTATTTAAAAGAAAAATAACTATTAAACCAGTCCTAATATTCTTGACCTGAATTCAAAGTCCAAATAAACAGAAGGTTTAAAATATGCTTGTCAAACAAAATGGCAGCTTTGGGAAAGCAGAATCACTCTAGAAAATTAAGTATTCAAAAATTCAATTAACCGACAAAATCAATTTATTGCCTATATTTTTTAATAACTAAAAACATTTTGTTGAAGGACATTTTTGTGTTGGAGGATCTACTGATGCTTTGTTGCCTTTGCTCCTGCTTAAAAAGTGAAGATCTTTTCAGCTGTGATGTGTTGTATTTTATTCATTTTTACTGCATAATGCTGCAACATTTTGACTGTGATCTGTTGTGAAAATATTCTTTTATTTTTTGTTTTGATAATTATTAATTGTATTTTTTTTAAAAAAGAAAGTTTTAATCCTGCTGTGCATCATTCCTGTGCAAAAGCTAGTGTACCACTGTGTCACATACCAGTATTTACAATCCAGGAAGTACTTTGTAAAGTGTGAATTTTATCTATTTTTGTCCTAATTTGGTTCAAATGTTGGGTGTGTTTTTAAAATAAAATTAATATCCCAGCCCTTCGCCTTCTGTTGATGTTTCATTAGTTAATAGCTTTGCCTATTTAAGGCTGCGCTTTGCAGCCTTTCCTTACAAACTGCCTGATTAACAATGCAATAAAGTTAATTTTATTACTCAAACTGGTTTAAAAGTTTAAATGAAAGGAAACCAAAGAGATTCCAGTAAGTGACAGACCAGCTCTTTTGCTGTGAACTCTTTTAATTTCAGGATTCAAAGGCAGAAAATATAGTTGCCTGGAACTAAACTGTGACTAAAGGCAACTTTATATTATTTTTAAGCATATAAATGTTTGTTTCTGACTCTACAAACTACTGGGCATCACCAGAAAAATTATTAAATCAATTTTAGTTTTATGGGTAACGTTGCCATCTTGTGGACATATGTAGGAAATTAATTGAAAACGAATAATCGTCAGAATATGGTAAAATAAAGTGTTTATTGTTTTTGATTCAATTTAAGAATGTAAACGTTTAGTAAATATATTTATTGAACCTTTTTATGTTTCAAATTTACAACTAATTAAAACTCAAAGCTCAGTTACTCATAAAATAATGTTTTAGTTGCAGATATATTATAATTTAATTTCTCTGGCTGTATGGTTAGAAACCTGAGAGACTATGGAGTTGGAGGTTTTGGGGTCGTGGTTGAGGAATTAATATGAATTAAAGCGACATTTAATTTCCTCTTGGGATCAATAAAGTAGCCCTGAACTTGTTAGCTACTCCAAGTTGTGAAAACAATAACTTGTTCTCATGATTACGGATCACAACAAGAAAAAAGTAAAATCAAAATCCTGCCAGATCCACAACATCCAGAACTATATGGGATAATTATCCAAACAATCATTTATTAACAAAAATCTAGAAAAATAACCAATTAGATCTAACCTAACAGGGATATTCCAATTTTTTTAATTTAATGTTTTTATTTTATTTTATTTTTACTTTTTATTTTCCTATATTTTTAGTATTTTACCATTTCCTCACAATATAATTAATTTTTTATTCTCCTAAGTCACTACATAGCCCAGAATGCCTTGCTTCCGGGTTTGACTTGTGACGTCAGGAGGCGGAGACGCCGACAGCGTCGTATCAAAAACAAGCAGCTAAGTAGCGTTAGCTATCTGCAGACCAACAGTTGGCCCGCAGCTGGCTGCTCGGCACTTTAACTTCTGGAAAACAACTCTCCCAGCAGAACCAAGTCAACACCTCTGGTCGGAAATACTTTCGCTTAACAGGTAAAACAAATTATGAACATATAAACGTATGAAATAGTCCGGGGTCAGCGGTAGTGTAAGCTAGTGTTAGCTCTGTTTTCTTTTTGATTATTGGCTTCCAGGCGAAGCTAGCGGTGGATCGCTGCTGTTAAAGCCTTCCCAACACAGTGTGTTCAACACGTACTCCTCCAGGAAAAAATACAATAAAATAAACCGTTTTAACTAATAAAGTCGCCAATGAAATAGCTGGCCTCATCATTGTTATTTTCCTGCATTTTTTAAAAGCCATTCTCTTTCTTTGACAACTTACAAGTCATGGCGTGTGGAGCCACCCTGAAGAGAACCATGGATTTTGACCCACTGATGAGCCCCGCGTCCCCCAAAAGGCGGAGATGCGTCCCGGTGGCCCCGTCGGCTTCCTCCCCGAGGCGGTACCTCAGCATGGAGCCCTCTCCGTTCGGAGAGTCGTCGTCCAGACTCAGCGCAAGTAAAACCTCCGGCCTCCGGAATGAGCAGTTTAACGGACAACCGGTGACTCTTGTTCTTCTTCTTCTGTTTTATTTATGTCTTTGATTGAATCACCAGAACAAATCCTGAACAACATAAAACAGGAGTACAAACGTATTCAGAAGAGGAAACACCTCGATGGAGGCTACTACCAACAACCAGAGTGCTGCTACTCTCCAGAATCCCCCTCCCAGTTATCCATGAATGTATCCAGCATGCCAGGTCGGTCTGGAAAACATGCCAAACGCCGCAAAAACAAAACAAAATGGACGATTATGTGTATTTAGAAGCTGCAACTGTTGATTTTAGTTAGTAATTATTATGATAATCAATCTGATGTAAAAAATTTGGCAGATTCTGCAACTTTCACGGTTTTTTTGTGTGTGCAAGTTTAGAAATACAGTAAACAATTTAATATAATAAGATTTTTTCAGGCTAAAATGCAAGAAAAAAACGTCTGGATGAACTGATCAATAACTGAATAGCAAAAGTTGCTTAGTGTGAGATTTTTATTCATTTCTGCTGGATTTTAACTATGTGAAGCTAAAAAATGTCACTGGAGTTTTGGGTAGAACATATTTCATTTCTTTTTGTTAATGTTATTCATCTCTGTAAGTAACTATTTATTAATCTATTGGTTATTGTTATATATAATCAGCTAAAAATTAGGTAAATTCTATTTTTTGTTTTAATTAACAAATTTTAATATTTGGATTTTCTTTTACTGTTATTTGAACCATGTGAAGCTAAAATTATGGAGTTTTAAGCACATATATGTATAAAAAAGTGTATATATTTTTGTACAGTTTTGCCTTCATTTCAAGTTTTTTTTTCAGCAATTGTATCTGTTAGCAATTAATTTATTACTAAATTAGTTGGCGATTACTTCATTAATTGATTCATCCATTAAGCTTAATTATCCTTTTATCAAGCATCCGTTAATAATACTATGGAAATAAAATATTTTGAACAAAATGCTGATTCCAGTCAACTTTCCCCACTCTTCATGATGCAAACATGAATACAGGCAATAAGTTCCTATTCATAAATATCATTCAATCAGCCTGTTATGGTTACACAAGCTCTACCTCTCATCCCTCCTGCTTTATTTAACTTTCTATATTTAAACCCAGACTTCTATAAACGTTTATCTTCCTCAGACTTGTGAGGTTTTGGTCCTGCTCTATCAAAAATATACTAAAATGTCTGAGATCAGCATTAGCATGACTTTAAATCCACCTCATTCCAAACAATTTATTTTTTATGTTTCCCCTAACAGGGAGCTCTTCAGGCGGCGTCTCTCCGACCAGAAAAGAACAGCCGCTGTTCACGCTCAGGCAAGTCGGGATGATCTGTGAACGCTTGCTCAAAGAACGAGAAGACAAGGTGAGGGAGGAATATGAGGAGACCATGACTTCAAAACTGGCAGGTAAAGTCTGTTAATCGACTGCATGAACTGATATATTGAGTAATAAATGTGAATGTTCTTCAAGTAGACACGGAAAGAAAAGCGATTTCTCACAGAAAGTTAATTAAAAAGTCAAATATTTACATTATGTACAACAGGGATGGGCAATTATATTATTATGGTAAATTTCTTGTGATGAGGTTTGATTTATTGTCGTCACAATAAAGTCCAGTTAATGTTAAAAACTGACTGAAATGGGTTTTTTTTTTCATTTTTTTCAATGTATTTTACACAAGAATATTGATGAATATCAGTAAATTCAAAAATATGATTGAACAAAGTCTCTATGCGGTTTAGTGACATAAATCATTTCTTTAAGCACCATAAAGACGTCTCTATCAAACAGAAACATCAATGAAAATGGAAAGCATGTTAATAAATGAAAATACTGTTTTGTACTTAAATGTTTACGATTGTATCTGTAGATATCCTGAGTCAGTTGCGATAATGAACTTTATTTAAAAAGGGAAAACTTAACATGTCAGCGTTTTGTGGGCTGAACAAGTTTACAGCAAACGCTAAAGCATATCTGCAATCTCTTGACAGCTTACAAAAATGATATCAGTCCACAAAAAATATCAAATATTAATATATATACAAAATGTTTCATTTTATGAACAAAAAATGTGAAGTGATGGGCCAAAAAGTAATAATCTAGAGGGCCACAAATGGCCCTCGTCCCACACTTTGGGCATCTCAAGCTTTAAATGCTTTTAGTGAAATATTGATGGAATATATTGTCAGCTTCCTGGCAAAATCAATTTGTTTACTTCAACAGGAATCCATTTTTTTCCTCCTGAGTTTCCAGATAAACTAAAGGCCAAAATGTTGTGCTTATTTCCAGAACAATACGACACCTTCGTGAAGTTCACACACGACCAGCTAATGCGGCGGTTCGGGGAGCAGCCTGCCAGCTGTGAGTTTTTATTTTTACATTCCTGCTCCGCTGGCAGGCAGTCCGACTTTTTGTCTTCTGAAGTCAAAGCTAACAAATCTGGTTTCTGTGTTTTAACTGGATCTCTGCTTTTCTCCAGATGTTTCCTGAGTGTGGCACCGAACCGTCGGCACGAAGACCTCCGCCTGCTGCAAGCTGTCATGTGATATCTCAAAGAAAAGAAAAGTTCTCATCCCAAGAGATTTAATTTAGCTAGTTTAAATGAAACTTTTCTGACCGTGCCATATATCCTTCTCTGGGCGACGACATGAAGCGGCGGCTAGCAGCTAGCTGCTTCCTGTGTAAATTAATGGACCCTATCTCTACAAGTGGCCTCTGTTCCCAGTTATCTCACTTTTTGTATCGATTCCCAGCATTCCAGGCTGTGTCTGTAGTTTCTGTTACGTGTAAATACAAAAGAGGCGCTGGAGAGTTTTACAAAGTTTGCTGGTCAATCTGAAAGGAAGTCGGTGTTTTTCAGCCGTTTGTCCCTCATTTATTGCTTTTTAAATTAAACACAGTAGGTAACTTCTGTTTTTTTTTGTTTTATTCCCACCAGTGTCTGTATTTATTTTGAAGTTTCTTTTTCCCAGCTGGTATCAGTTTGCAACCGATGTACTTTAGTGGAGAAAAACAAACAACAAAAAAAAACAATAAATTGAGAGTTGAGAATCTTCGCTTGTGAAAATTTCAGTGATTCAGTTTTTTTCTGCGTCACATTTCAAGCTGCATTATGGAACTTATTACAATTTATTTTATTTTCCAAAAGTTGACATGCATGTTGCTGAAAAACAGAGAAACTCCTTTAGAAGAGATCCAGCAAATTACATCTGGACCTGATGTGTAATTTCAGAACAAAATAAGACAATGTGATTTTTTTTTCCAAAGTTTTCCTACGTTGCCAGTGACCTCTCTCCTCAGGGTGACGTCGGTCCTCCTTTGAGGCTAGAACAGCTTCAGCTCTTCTACGACTGGAGCTTTATGGGATGTTTGATCGTTACTCCAGAAGGGCATTTGTGAGGTCACACACTGATGTTGGATAAGAAGCTCTCAATCTCTGCTCTAATTGACCACCATGGAAACCCATTCCATGAAACACGGAGCTAAGCCGAAGGCCACATGAAGTCTGGGGGTCTGCAGTAACCGACTGCAGAAAGTTGCTGACCTCTTCGCAATACAACGATCCGCTAACCCGTCAGTTTACATGGCCGACCACTTCCTGGCTGCATTCCCAAAAACTTTCTCTTTCTCATAATGTAGCTGTGTATGGAATATTTAGAAGTGAGAAAATTTCACGACTGGATTTGTGAAATTCCTTTCTCAGTTCCACGCTGGAATTCAGTGAGCGACCCGTTGTTTGTGATCGTGATCGTTTGTGATCGTTTGTGAAAACGATCTGAACGCCTCAGCTTTCATTTTACACGCCTGTGGAAGTGATTGGACCGGCTGGTTCTGATCATTTGGATGGGGGAGAAAATATAGTGTAAACAAAACAAAGATTAACAACAATGTTTGTCTCACGTAACTATGAAAAACAATAGTAATTATTGTATCATACAATAACCATAAGCTTTAATTCCTTAAGCGTTACTTTAAGTCTATGCCAAATAAACATATTAACAAATATAGATTAAAGTAAATGCTTCTGCAATCCACATATTTTGTCTCCTTGGAGGGACTGCCAGTATGAAACAATGTCTCCAGTTGCTCCGTGAAAACAAACTGCAGTAATAACTGTTGTAATAACTGCAGTAATAACTGATGTAATAACTGCTCTAAGTCACTAACTTCTGTAGTTGAGGGAAAACAAACTAGTACAGCAGCACTAGGAAGAAAATGCAAAATCAAATATTAAACGTTTACAACTAATCAGAATTACTGGAATACTAAAGGTAATTTAGAGCAAGAGAAAAACCTTTCAGCAAAACAAATACATAAACGAAACAGTAAAAAATAAATACCTCTGTTTTATTGGAACCCAAATTGGTTGTGAAAACAAAGAGAGGTGATGTTTTTGTTTTGTTTGTATTTTTTAGCATCCTCCCCAGGTGAGCCGGGCCACATGATCCGTCTTCTTCTTGGTTGCTTTGATGAAACCAAGGAACTCCATCTCCGACACGGCGCGGATGAAACGAGCGCTGAACGGCGAGTTTAGGATTAAACCCCCAATGCCACATTAAATCATCACAGAGACACTTTTACAAAGGAGACCCATTATGAAAATTCATTTTTTCAGATTGCTGTGCTTCAGTTTTGATCTCTACTGCTTCTAAAAACAGTCAGACGCTTGAAAACCAACCCAGACGGTTTTAGGCAATAAGTTCATGATTTTTAGTGAGCGCTTTCAAAAGTCAAAGAAATCACTAAAAGAAATTAGAACAGATTTTACTGACTGTTACTGCAGTGGCTAATAAATGATTCTGTTCTTGATAGAATAAAATGTTTTTTTCAAGTTTTCTGTTGTGCAACTTTAGAACTAAGAAAGTTGGTAAAAACAACGGGGATAAAGTTCGGCAACGATTTGGGATTACTGAAGGTACAAAACAAAGGAGAACATTTCTGCCAAATAAATGACATTTAGCTCAGAAAATTTATAGAAAAAGCTTGGATATTTCTGAGCTCAAAGTCAAAAATTTACTGGAAAATAATCAGAAAGTTTGAGACTAAAAATTTTCTGGAAAAACTTAAGCTCCAAAAGTAAAAAACAAACAAATCGTTTTTCAGGGAGGAATGTACTCTTCTCTTTCTACAATGATCCTAATACAGCTTTGTGGTTATTTGCATTAATTCATAAATTAAAAAAGAAAAAGATACTGTTTGACTTCATCCACTTTGCCAAAACCATCTGAATCTGGATCGTTGCCCTCTGCAGCAGAAACAACAGTAGAGTAGGCCTGGAAACAAAACAACAGAACTCACAGATGACCTTTCATCAACATGAACCTCAGGATCAAACCAGCCTGGTTTAACTATTATGGAGCCAAACAGATGAAAGACTCACTTGCAGCCAGTCGTACAGGTTGATCAGCCGGCCACACTCCAGGTGCAGCTTGTGAGCGATGCAGATATCAGGAGCAGCATTCGACACAGAGCCGTCCTCCGACTTCAAGCTGTCGTTCTGCAGCGGAAAACAAAAGAACTGCTGCATGAGAAGAAATAACCTCGTTCTCATATTATTTCAACTTTATTATCCTAATACTGTGTAGCAGTCCAGGAATATTCCCACGTTATTACAGGCTTTATTCCTGTAATAACTTTATTCTCATGATACCACGTTATTATTAACATAGTCGAACTTGCATTATCACTTGAAAATTGTCACAAAAAGAAAAACAATATTATTGTTTATTACAATAATTACTGGGACAATTTATCGTCCAGCAACATTTGTTGTGGTGACAGGCCGACTACCGATCTAGAATGAGGAGCAGCGCCATAAAAACTCCCTTTATGTTTGTTTTTGACATTAGGGACATAAAGAGTGATAAATAATCATCATGCTTTACGCAGAGGTTGTACCTGGATGTAGCAGGAGGGGTTGCTGAGCGCAGCCTGGATGGAGGTACGAGGCGTCGCGTTGAGGTGGCGCCTCACAGTGGCCGATGAACTGTAGTAGCAAACTTCATACAGCGGCTTGGACTCCGGCGGCGCCAGATGATTCCTGGACAAACATCACAGGAGGATCTGATTAGGGCACCAACTGATAATTAGTTTAGTCATTGATTATTCGATCAGTTATGCTGACAATTAGCTGGTGATTCAGATTTTCTTTTGTAATTTTAGTTTTCTTACTTCACTAAAGCGTCGACAAACTCCACAGCTTCGTTCCGGAGAACCTCAAAAGGACTCATCCTCTTGGACCGACGAGACTCGTTCATCTCCAGCAGCGTCTAGAGAAACATTAAGTTTGAGTTTCTTCTGAAGAAACCTGAGTGTTGCTTCCTGGTTGGACCAGAAGAGCGTCTACCTTCTGCAGCTGGAACAGGTCCGTTTTCTTTTGAAGGTTTTTTAGCGGAGAGGTGAGTCTCTCCTCCATGCTAGGGGCCAATTCAGCAGCAGCTGAACCAACAGAACCTTTACTCTAATGCATATCACACAGAAAACCACTCCGGGATAATCATTAAAAAAGATAAACAGGGTGTGTCGAACATTTTCACAGCTCACCGTTCAGCTGCTTAAGTTTATCAAGAAGCTCCTCCAGCTGGACGAGAGCGTTCTTCATCTTCTTCGACTTTAACGGCTGCAGAACCTCTGCGCACTTCTGAAGCAAAGAAATCAGCTCATCTTTCGCCAGCATCCTGGAGAAAGACACAAAATCAGCGCTGACACGATTAATCAGATTAATTGATTTCTGACATGATTACTGCAATTCCATGTTTACATAATATTCAGTTCTGGACTGATGCAGTATTCAGACAAAAGGATACTGAATAAAGCTTATCAATTAATTGTGATTAATCAATTACTGGAATAATTTTCAACTAATTTAGTAATTGATTAATCATTAATTAGAGTATGAAGATCCAATAAGGATGCCAATTGCTGAAAAAATAGCACACTCATTATTCAGCCAAAAACAAAAAAATATATGTACATTCTGCATTTAAGAAAAAAACCATCATACTCAGGATAGCCTTCAGTACGGCTCCATCTAGTGGTAAAACCAAACTCCCCCAGGTAGAAGGCACCAGAATAATAAATAATTGCAGAATAATAAATAAAAACTAGGAATAAATAGAAACAAATCAGCTGAACGTTTGAGCCTTACTTTAAAAGCTTCATGGCCGACTGGTATTCCTCACTATCCCACACGTTCTTCTCCTGACAAATCAAATGAAGCTCTCTGATCTGGAAAACAAAAACATAATATGTAGAAAATGCTAAACAGCAAACATTTTAAACGCAGCTAATGAAGGAAAAATCTTTGCCTGTTTGCCCAGAGGGTAGCGGGGCAACGCGGAGGTCAGAGTGTGGAGACAGCGCAGGATGGGGTAATAGTTCTTGTGGTATTTATGAAGGCCCTTCAGCAGTTTCTGACACACCTCCTAAAATGAATTAAGTTATTTTAAAATCTAGTTTAGGCTGAAATAAAGGTGACATTTATTTCCTGATTTTGATAAAGAGATATTGCAAAGAAATCACCTTTAAATAAGCGTCGTCTGTCCGGAGATTGTCCTGTTCTTGCTGCTCTTGCTCCTTCAGAAACCTACGACAAAAACGTGAAACAGCTGTTATTTGAAAAAAAACCTGGATAACACACTTCTGCTAATCTGCCAGTAGTGGAGAAATGAGTGCACTCAGCTTCCCCTGAATTAATTTTTTCAGATAAAATTCATTGCTCTAACAGCAGAGCTAATTCTTAGCTTAGCACTTTTGCTAACTTTGAAAATGTTTAGCACACTTAGCTTCCCCAAATTATATTTTTTTTCCAAATAAGTTGCTACTGGTCGATGTAGCATTTACTAAATTGCACATCAACAACAAAATAATTGTCTTTTCCAGCAGCCATTGTGCAGCGCATGCAGTGGTAAAACCAGCTGATCACATGTGCTGGAGTTCAGCTTAGGTTGCTAGGTAACGGGCGGAAGTTGCTAGGTGACAGCCAAACGTAAATTTATTGCCAGAAAACAATTTGGTGTTTTTTCAGGAGCTTAGCGCGTTTTCAGTACAAAAA